ATAAATACCCCATCTGCCCAGATTAAAACAAAGTTCCCCAGGGAAAACGAAGAACATCAAGAGTCGCACAGGAAGAAATAAAAAACCGAAAATGCTGGAAACTTGTGTTAGCTGAAAGCCCATCTTAAAACGCCCAAAAAATTACAACCTTAAATGAAATCAGGCCCTCATACCCCGCTCATTACACACTTGTTACAAGGGAATGTGGCAGTAGAGAGAAGAGAGAAGAAAGAAAGAAGGAAAGACAGAGAGAGAGAGCTCGAGGTCAATGAGCTTTGTACTCGTCTCGAGACTCTGAAAATTTCGACAAAATACCGCTACATTGAATGGCTTTTGCACGTCGCATGAATATGTATCTGTAGTTGTAAATATATCTGTATCCGCGAGTGTGTATTACCAAATATTGAGCAATAAGAATAAGAATTTCGGTTTCTTTTGGTCATGAGACAGACAGTTACAAAGCGGCTTTTGTTGCGCTCCCTCGCTCTTTATTTGCTGTTCTTTTTTTAATCTGCGGCTAAAAATACACTTTTTGTAAGCTTTTTAATTTAGCTGTAAGCAACAGATAAATTCGTTTCAAAAGTGCATGTGCATACAAAAAGATACAATAAAAGATACAGATACAGTCACATCTCTTTTTGTGCTTATCTCGTCTCTCTTTAGTGGCAGCGCTTACCTGTTGCGCTCTTAAAGCGATCGCCTGGCTTTCTCTCTCTTTGCGCTTTCTTTACTCTCTCTTACGCTCTTCCTCTCTTCCTATCTCTTTGTCTTTCTCTCTGGGTTTTTTCGTGTGTTTTGATTCCTTCATTCTTGAGCGCTAAGAACGTTCGTTGACCTCGGAGAGTTGGGGCCTCCGCTTAGCGGTACTTCTCAACCTGTTTTTCCCCTCTCTCTCCTGCTCTCTCCCGCTCTCCACAGGGCGTGAGTGTGTGTGTGTGTTTACCGTAGAAGTCTTCCTGTTTGCTCAGCGATTAAAGGTGCAACTGAGCGAACTGCGATCCGATGACGGGCCCCAAAGATACACAGATACTTGGAGAGTAACGTCACGGGTTTCGGGTCCCTGACTCTTTCGAGCCCTACTACGTGTATCACTCGGAATAACAGTGGGACTCTCGGACATTCGGACATGACATCCCATCTCTGATGAAATGCACGCATGACTCCGCTGGCATGTGTATCTCTTACCAGTCGATACAGGCCAACATCCATAAATCAAACTCATATTTCTATTTTACTTGTATCTCTAATTATACGTATCTTGAGGTTGCTATTAAAAACTAAACTTAGTTTTTTAGACAGGCTTTATCTTTCTATCTTTATTTAATAGCTGATTAAATTATTTTAAAAGATTGTTGTAAGGTATGATAAAGTAATTACAGATCTTTTGAGAAATCGGTTTAAGCTTAGAAAACCTTGTATTTTCCGGTTCATATCATGGCTATATAAGGTTTGACAAACACCTTATATCTTCTTGAATATAATTTTATATATTAAGGCGAACTAGGCATCAAAATATTATTTCCGGCTTAAGAGAAGAAGATTTAAGCCCAATACGGGAATACTGACTTAAGTTTTGGAATAGATACATATGTCAGCATTTGTTTTCTTTACGTAATTCTAGCTCTTAAGCAGGAAATCATTTATTTTGCCTAATACTAGGCCATCATAATGTTGTTCTTATCTAAATATATATGTAATGCATGATTTGTAAGATATTGTTCAAGTACCAATCCCACTTAGGAAGGCGGGACTGTATCTTTTTGGTTGCTGCGCGGATATTTTTGGGCAGTGATCACGCATTTAATTAGCAGGAATTGTGGTGAGCGCCCCCCCTTTTACAGGTGTGTTGGTGAGCGCGTGTGCTGAGGTGGGAACTTCTTGCAGCTCCTTTCTCCTTTCTCGGCTGAGCTTCTGTTTCTGTTTCTGTTTCGTTTTGTTTCTGCTTGTTTTTCCCGCTCGCCTCCCCACACAGGTTCCCGCCAGAGGACGATGATTCCACATCCAATGAAGAGGAACCTAAGATGATAATGATGGCGATCATGATCATCGGATGCAACGGGTCTTCGACTCGGTCTCTGGCCATTTAGTGTGCAATCGTTTGTCCCCACGTCCAGTCCAGTCCATTCGGATTCTGGGCTCTCTCATCGGATCGCTTCCAATCCGGATTAACCCCCCGCTCTCCATCATCCTGATCCGTTCCACTCCGCCGGCCGCATCATCACCTTTGCCGGCTAATTTCACCGTTTGAAAACCGTTTGATACGATACCATCTCAGAGACTCGAACTAATTCGCGAATTTTACGATCATGATCTGGTCGAGTGATGAGTTCAGAGCCTTGACATTGATCCTATTAGTTTGAGTGTATGAATGAAAGTCCATATCCATTGATGAGAGCTAAGAACCCGGATAACATGCCCAGCACTATCAGAGGTTAGTATGAATAGGGGGTTCTATTCATAAGACTAAGGCTAAGACTATTCTTATAAGATTCTCATATTTTTTAATCTTTATCTTTTATATGTTTTTAATATTATTTAGGAATGTTAAGCTTAAGATGCTTATAAAAGCAAACTATGAACAAACCTATGCAAATTGAAACCCACTTATAGTAATAAGATTAATCAATTCTTTATGATTTATCATGTTTTATTAAGTGGTGTTCAATTATTACAAATTTTCCCCTTCTGATTATGCAGATATACCATTTCTTCAACTTATCTTCGCCGAATATATTTTTTGCCAATTAAGATCTGTAATTTTATTGAAGGTTTTTGGAATTCACCACTTCGGTTTTTAATGTTTAAGTCAAGTTTCTCTGGCAATCAAAATATCTCTGGTGATATTTTCAGACATCAACCTTGCCTGGCTATAACCAACTAATGGAATCATTAGGCTGGCTAAGAAAATACAAAAAAAAACCTAATTGATTATAAAAGGCAACGGCTTTCAATAGCCGCAAATAAATGGATGGGATATGCAGTCGAGCTGCAAGACATGCAATGCCGTCTTGCTGCTGGATTTCCGATTCTAGCCAAAAGATTTTACCACATCTTCAAGGCAGCGGTGGTAGTGGCAGTTGGCAGTTGTGCCAGCAGAACAACAGTAATGGCCCGGCCAACTGTTGCCTCATCGACAGTGGGGCTGCAATAAACCAGTTGGAAGTCGCAGCTAATCTTGCAACACAGTTGCGCAACAAAGAATCCGAGGCAACGGTACTAACGTGTTTGCTGTTGCTGTTTCTGCTGCTATTGTGGCTATATGCCTTGGTTCTTAGCCATGTTCTTTTCTTTTCTTTTTTCTTTTTATTGTTATTTGTTATTTTCTTGGCAATCAGCTCTCTGAGCCAGTTGCGTGTAACAGGTTTTTCCTCTTGAATAACTGGGACTTTCTTACGGGACTTTTTCGGAGAGTTTCTGCAGAAAACAGGTTAGAATCGGCACAGACTTGCAATAGATGAGGCAACACAACAAGAAGTTTACAACGGTGAGGCACACATTTTCACGTTCACGTTAGAACCAACGGTGTTTTAGCCAAGTTTAGCTGCAAGACGCTGGCAGAACCAGTTGGCTCTTGATTGTTGTTGCGCAAGCGGCAGCTGAAGGCAGCGAAAAATAAATCTAACATGATTTAAGCAACGGAAAAACATGAAATATTAATGCCGATGGTTGACTCTTGGCTCCGAATCCACCGTAACGGCTGTCTCTTGGTTCGCCTTCATCGGCGTACCCCCCACCTTATAGATGGCCCTACTGCCTACCAGTACCTACTAATGATGGCTTCGATCCGAACCGATCCGATCTGTTAGGTTGGTGCCCAGTTAGGCGATTAGTCCAAATTTGTTCTGTTGGGCAATGCCCGAGTCCGAGTTGTTCTCCCCTTTTTTTTTTGGGTAGTCACTTGGGGGTCATTGTGGTCATAGCTGTTCTGGGATTTGTTTTTACAGACATCAGCAGCTCATTTGGCTGCAGGGAGCTTTAATTAACGATATTGGAAATTTGGTTCTTTGATGATTGAAGTTCTTACTAAATGTATATACATTTAAATGTAATGGTTTTTGTATATACCCATGTTCAAAGAGCTTTAACTTGGTACTAAACAAGTTCTTTAAAATATTAAGAAGGCTTCTTAATCTTTTTAAAGTACCTTAAACATCTTTTGTATTGTGGAAAATAGTTTCAAGTATGAATAACATAAATTTAAGATGAGATGAGATAAACATGTTAATTTAATAAATTAGCTTTGTAAAGCACCACATAAGTTTGATATTAATGATTATAAATTTTTTTGTGTATTATTTTTTGAAATTTTGAACTTGTATACTTACCTAGTGTTCTAAATGTAACCATTAACCAAAGTTCTCATACTTTTTTTAAGTTCTGCTATATTTTTTCTCACCCCAAAGAAACAGTTTGTGAAATGGAAATTTTGAATAAAAGGTTTTCTTTTTGATTGGGTGGGGTTAAATAGATTTATATATGTATAACTAAGTAATATGTCTATAAATATTTATAAACTTTATTCAATGAGGTTCAGTTAAATTCATGACACTGGTTTTATTTCGACTAAAAGACTATGTTTATTAAAAAAAGATTAAACTATCTACCTATGGCATATCTGAATATAAATTCAAACAATGTGTTTGAGATCCCTTTTTAAAAAGGTCTTGTTTAAATAAATTTAATCAGTTAGTCGAAATGTAAGCAAGTGTCATAACACCATTGAAGTTACTGTAAGGCTAAATTGCAGGGATTTTAAAACATTCGACCGATTCAAATTCTACCGCCCTTGGAATTTCTACCACGGGCGTGCAGAAATTTCCCGTGACTCTTTCCCACCACGGCGGGAATTTCCCTGGTCTGTGCGCCCCCTCCCACCCCACTAAAAATCTAAGGGTGGAAAAGCTGCGCAACAACGTTCGCCTGTTCTCGTTTTCCCTCGTGCCGTGGCTTCCAGTTTTTCCTGGCTATGCACTTGGCATTATGCCTACTAACCCTATTTTCGCCACCAGTTCGCAGCGAGTCCCATTTTTCAACTTGCATGCGGATATACACACACGCACACACACACGTATGCCAGGATTTTCCCAGAAACTGAGGCGCAACCCCCACGAAACGGAAAGTTTGTGCAGCGGCAGAACGAACTGTGTTTGTGGCACTCGAATTTGGGACACATTCCTGTAAAGGACGCAGCTCCGGTCAGCTGCTACTCCAAATCGCAAAAAAAGGAGTCACAAAAAACGCGCGCGGTGCATTAAGCCCTTAAAAATATCTGAAAGTGAAAATACTGAAATAGGAAAATTCAAAAAGTGTAACTCAACATTTTCCAACCCCCAAAAACACAAGTGCAATAAACTACATAAATAACTAGTGTATCAATTAAATAAATATAGGATAAAGGATAGTAAAAGATACAATATCTTTTTGGAAAAGCGAAAGCTATATGCTAGTGCCTGCCAAATATTGATTGCCAAGTGTGCCGCTGAAAAATCGATTATTAAAGCCACTTTCCACACACACAGCTGGTGGTTGTTGTTGTTGCAAGGATGGAGGTGGCTTCCGAGGTGGTGGTTGCATAGGGTTGCGTGCCGCAATGTGGGAAATCAACAGCAACATTGCCACATCCACAGCCACATCTATATCCACATCCACATCCAGATCCCGAGGCACACTTCCAACTGTTTTGACGTGGTCGAGTTCCAATGGCGCTGGCAAAAGCGAATGCTGCAGCGCAGCCTTGCAGCCATCCAGCGGCGACGCGTTGCATGTGCAGCAGCAGCAGGAGCAGCAGCAACAGCAGCAACAGCAACAGCAGCAGCAACAGCAGCAACAGCAACAGCAGCAACAGCAGCAACAACCGCAGCAGCAGGACACGAAAACGAGGATGACAACGGTCAAATGTAAAGAACACAGATACAGAATCAGGCACAGTCATCAAAACACAGCCACAACTGCTGCATAATAGTTATTAAAAAATGAAATAAACAATAACAATAAGAAAGACTAAACAAAATGTACTCAAAAACCAAAGCATTAAACTGAAACGCAAACTCAAACTCTGGCCATCGCACAAAGTTACGTTAAGTATACGACGCGTATTTCCAGCTGCAAAACGAACCCAAAACGAAACCGAACGAAACGAAACGCACAGGTGCATCTGTAGACCCCACTACGCCCCTGAAAAACCCCCCTTTCAAGCCACTCACCCCCCTCCCAGCCCTCATTTAACCACCCCTCTCCAAGGGGTATCTACACCAATTGACAAGCAATCGAGGCAAATGCAGAATGAATGAACTTCTTTAGTCGTTGACAATTTTTTAAGTGCACTTTCGTAAGGCTGATTTTCAAATTTATTTCGATGTTGTGCTTCTACACCTTATAAAACAAAACAAAAAAAAAGAAAAAAGTAAATAAATAAGGGAGAAAATTAAGCAATCAACCAAAGTGAAAGTGTGAGTGTTTAGTGTTTAGTGTTCTAAGAGCTGGGACATTTGAGATACTTTTGGTGAAGAAACGGCCGCCACAACGGATAGGCCGCGAGATCTCCTGCTGATACAGCAGGCCAAGTCCGCCGGCGGCAGCAAATCCTCCAGCGGCGGACCGCAGTTCATCGGTACCGATGCCGCCACAGCGGCGGCGGTTGCCAATCTGCGCAGCAAGGTGCCCTCCATCTCGATAATCCCGCTGCCCGTCTCCACCACCATTGTGGCAAGGAGTGGTGGCGTTGGTGGTGGTGGAGGTGCCAGTGGTGGTGCCACTTCAGCTGTGCCCCACCTGATCCACTCGGCGAGGAGTGGCGTGTCCATGACCAGCAAATCCACGGGCACTTCTCCCCCTCTAACCTTCATTTCGGAGGGAAACGGATCGGGTTCCGGAACTGGATCCTCGGGTGCTCCCGCTCTGGCCCTCCTGCCACGCCCCCAACAGCAGCATCAGTACCAGCAGACCGACAAATGCACCGTCCTCAAACTGGATGTACTGAAGCCTCAATCTGGCCTGGGTTCCAATTCCAGCAGTAGCACCTATCTGCAGATAGAACAGCAGCTCAGCGAACTGGAGGCTGCCGACGAGGAGGAGGAGAATATGGCCAGTTTGCTGGGCAGTGCACCACCCGCCCAGATTCTGGCCAATCAGCCCATTATCGTGAAGATCGAGCCCACGCAATCCTTTCACATAGTGGATGAGGGCGACACGAGGGTGCTGAGTCTGCCACTCAGTGATGCGGATAAACTGGGCGCCAGTTGGATAGATCTCAAAGATATAGCTGGATTGCAAGCTGGAGGAGGTGCAACTTTGCTGGACGTCTGCTTCGAGCAGGCCAACGAAGAGGGCACCATTATAGCCACTGTCCAGCCGGATTTGGACAACGACGATCTCGAAATGGAGGGCAAGGACGAGAACGAGGAAGAGACTGAACCAGAGCCACCGGCACCCAAAAGATTGGCCACCACCAGGCCAGCACAGTCGCGGCCACAACAACAGCAGCAGCAGCAGCAACCGCAGCAGCAACAGCAACAGCAACAGCAGCAGCAGGTGAAATTTCTATCGGATCCACCGGCCTTGGCGCGATCCAGCAGCTTCAGCAGTCTGAGCAGCTTCAGCAGCATCAGCAACATCAGCTCCGTGTGCAAAAACATGGCCAGCAATGCCAGTCAGGAGGGCAGCCTGAAGCGGTCCAAGGAGCGAACTCCACCGCCCTTAGCCCCACAGAAGCCCGCAGCAACATCAACAGCCACATCGGCAACATCGGGGACTTCGGCCAGTGCCACAGCAGCAACATCGGCCAGGGACAACAGCAGAGAACACAGCAGCAGCGGCAATGGCGCCATGACAGGTAATTCTAATTTTAAGGGAACCAGAACCATCTCTATAGATAAACCCTCTTTAGGAATGTCCCCTTGGAAAACCCATTTTTAGGTATATTTAAATCAATTTAAAATTTTAAGTCAAGCCAGTGGTCACCAGCAGCAGCAACTGCTAAACAAGGCTTAGAATCTTTTCTCTGCCGGGGCTCTGCCGCCACACTGATGGTGCACATCAGCATATTTTGCTATGTAATTTACAGCATGTTTTTCGCAGTGTGGTAACTACTGATTAACATAAAAATTTTTCAAACTTAAACAAAGAGTTAAGTTTTAACAGGTGGTTAACCCTTTACTTAATATTGAATATTGTGTGTGAACTGAAAGGGGTCTTCTTGTCACAAATTAATATAAAAACACTCTTTCGTTACATTTTGAAATCTCTTTCGGAAATATATTAACGCAATAAATAAACAAATATTTCATTTTCACTCAAAATTCAAGTATAAGAATATACATTCTGAAATAATTGGGAAATGGGAGTTATACAATTAAACAAAGAGTTTTGATAGCACATTGTAATACGTGATGGATGTATAAACTCTTAGCTTTTTCCTGAGATTTTACATAAAACACTCGTACAAGAATTCTTCATTAACTGTCATGAGTGATTGTCGCGAATATTTGAAAGATCTTAAGTCAAGGATTCCTCAAATGATGCGTTCACACCCCATAAAAATCAGCAAGCTTCGAGAATTCCACTTGTTGCAAGTGCAGAAGAACAACAGTCGGTTAACCACAGTGAGCACTCACCCAGAGCGACCACCGACGATCAGCGATGGTTCAGATAATCGCACATATATCCCCATAAAGCACCCTCTCTTTTCCCATCCCCACAAAGAATCCGAGCTATGCAAATGAACGCTCGCTCATTGCGCAAGCATCCAGCGGCAATTAACAGGCTGACACATCAGCAACACATCAGCGACAGCAGCAACACCAAGACACCAAGAGCAACAGCAACAGCCACAACAGGTGTACTTGTGTACAGTGAACAGGGTACAGTGTACAGTGTACAGTGTACACACCCCATGCTAAAAAGAATTTCAATTTACAAGCCTCGATTTATTGGCTATTCACCTTTGTGTGGCTGCAGCAGCAGCAACAGCTACAACAGCAACACCAGCGACTACGGGCATGTGTCCCACTTTCCATAGTCAACAAACAGCAGCAACAGCAACACCAACGGCAACAGCAACAAAAACATGTTTTGACATACTAAATAAGCCGCTGCTAGGCTGACTAGCTTTTGGCCAAGTCTAGATGGTGTTCTTTATCATTAGGTTCTGTTAGCCGTTTTTTGCTATTCTCCCTGCCTCGGCATATTCGCTTTACTGCTGTTGCGGCAACGCCAGCAACACCAAGAACCACAGCAACACCAAGAGATACAGCAACACCACCACCGTTCTTCTGCTCGACTCCTCATATTTTTACCGTAGCACGAACCTTAGCGGTAAAAACGTCAACTACAAACTATACAGTTAACTGAATGAAGTCTCGAACGGAGCGAAACTCAAGCCCATGAGTATCTGGCTAGAACAGAATTAACGTTTATGCACTGAAACAAAAATTATATTAATATCATATCATATGATAAAGTATCATAAATACATTATTAGATACAGAACTAACGGTTATACAATAAGAAAGGGATTGAAGTATCATATCATATGATTATGTATAATGTATCAACATATTCTTTAAGATTGGTAGCATAGGAAAGGGAGAGATCAGACTAGATTACTTGAAGATGATTAGAATATTAGATACAGAACTAACGTTTATACAATAAGAAAGGGATTGAAGTTTCATATCATAAGATTATAATGTATCATACATATTCTTTAAGATTGGTAATATAAGAAGAGAGAGATCAGCCTAGATTACTTGAAGAACAAGGGATATTTTAATATATTATAGTTTAGAGGTCGGATCAGGATAATATCACCTTTTTTTATGATCACAGATATATTTATACCAGAAATGTCAGATATTTGTACTTTTAATATTCGGTATTTGCGGTTTACCATTGATAGAGAAAGGTCCTAATATTATAATTCATTATATTTAGAAAACAGTACAAATGGTTTATTTTGACTTCTTGTGTTCGGTTAAAAATCTTTTCTGGGATAGAAGCATATCTTAAGATATCTGAAACTCTAGTAAATGGATATTTTTTCAGTGCTGAGAGTGGGATAAGGGCGAGGGGGCGGCTAAGCTGAAAAATTGATTTGGTAGCGCCTCGGGCCAGCGACTTGATTCTGCTCCCTCGGCTTGGCTCACTTGATGACTACAAATGAGTGTCAGGCACTGACACGACTTCTCATGCAGAAGCCCTACAGTTTCGGCCAAGATTGATCTATATTTTATAGCTTCTGTTGATATCTTTGCTCTGGGGGCCTCCGTGTCCACATGCATGGCTCATTAGCAGGCTGGGGCGGTGACCAAAACGTCGGATTTTCTAGTCTTGTGATTGATGATCGAGGCGATGAATCGTTACCTAATTGCTGTACCCACTAGAACGAGAATAGATCATTTCGATTTGTTTTCAGATTTTCTGCTTTCTCAATTCCAGAAGCTGAATGATCGATCTTTTCTGAGAGAAATTCCTTTACAGTTTCCGAATGCTTTGAAATAAAAGCTTTCTATACATTTCCGTTTTGTAGCCCGAAGACATTTTTGTAAACTATACCTTACTTGTATTTAACATTTCATTTTGTTTATATACATTTACAATCTTCAGAGTTAGGACTTTATAGTTAGTATAATATACCTAAGAGGTATTTTTAAAAATACACAAATGTTTAGGACAGCTTAAGAGACATTTAAAGATATTATTAAAACACAGGTATTTATCCATTATATAACTAAATACCTCTAAAATATCTCATTTCAAGGGAATTTAAAAATTATTGATTGTTAAAGTACCTGTGGCGTGAAATATCTAAAATTATTTAAATTGTTTTTAAAACACGTTCAGAGCCCTCCTCTTCACAAGCGGATTTGACAATGATTAGCCCACATAATGGTAGTTGGCAAAAAAAATGTAAAACTAAAAACATAAAGGTTTTCTTCATCCGAACCTTTCTGCGGATGAGACGACCCTGAACGTGGTCGATGGACTTTGGCAGTCCGCCGTTTCTGTCGCCGTCGTCAAAGATCTCGCAATCGGGGGATTACGAGATATGTATCTGCGCCACTGGGACTCGCACTATCACTTTTGCGAATGGGGCATATTGGCGGGGTTTATTGTTGTAATTTCCCATATGAAACGGAGCCAGGTTCATTATAATTTGGTTGGACAACGCTTTGCATTTCATGCATGAATCTTCTGCTTATTGGCCCGACGTCTGGACCTGGATTGGATCCGTGGCTATTAGCCAGGTCAGCGCCGCATGAGATTTCGTCTCCAATCGAGCGCGGCGAAGTTTCATTATCATATTTTCGATTTTGCCAAACTTCAACGATTTTGCCTGGCTATTTCGTAACCCAACCGTCTCATCTCTTTCTTGTCTATGCAAAATCCAAATTATGCTGCACACACATGTATCTTTGTATCTGCGAGATGCAGAGTTAATGGCTTAAGTATCGAAAATACATAAATTAACGTAAGCGAAATATTAATTTATAACTTGTGCGAAGTTTGTTTCTTTTGCGTTTTCAACATTTACATGGAAACTTACTTTTTTATTTTTGATTTTTTCGCATGCTTTTCATTTTGGCAAACTTCGAAAGCAAATTGCAAAATGATTTAAACTAATTTTATCATTTTTAATTGGCCAGCAAACTCCGTGTGCAGTTCACCTTGATGCTCGGTGATTTTTTTTGGCTTTTTATATTTTGTGGCAAACGTAATGGGTTGAATATTTATAAAATTTATAAAAATGTATGCACAAAAACTCATCTCGTGGGGACTTAACCCAATTTCTTATGTCTGCATTATTTAAGAACTTGGGATATTATACAATACTTTTATTATTTAAATATTTGCTTAATTTCGATCTTAAGGAAATGCAATGTTGCTGAAAGAAGCAGTAAATAAAAATGTAAACTTATAAATTTATTAGTTAACATTTTTTTTAAAGAATTGTAATCACAGTAGAGGGTTATTTTTAATAATTCCTTAAATAGGGAGATTCATACATTTTTCTTGAATTTGAACAAATATTTTTTTTTTTAGAGTCCCGAACTTCCTTATTTTGAACCACTATCGACTTGAAATTATAAAACACATTCCCTATTGCCAATAAAACTAGTTCGACCTATGGGGACTTCGAGCTTAAAAAATTCGACTGTATTACATTAAAGTAAAGTTTTACTTTTAAACTTTTAGCTAAATAGCTCAAGAATTTTTAAAATATTTTAAGAAGATACTTCTATATGTAAAACACACTCTATAGTAAATGCCCGACTACGAAATACCCGCATTTACTGAATGTTAAAATGTGTTGCCTACCTTATGGCGCTTGAAAAGCAACCATATGTAACCACTTTCCTGCATTTAATCGGCACTGTTAAAGGCCCACAGAGAAAACTCAATATCCGAATGCTTGTTGACAGGACTCGGGCGGTATAATTTAGGGCCAATTTTCCACTTCCGCCCCGCAAAAGGCATTCGAGACAATTGGCCCAGTCGCCCGTTGAAAAGTAAGAAGTGCAATTAAATTGCAACTGCAGTGCACACATTTTGGCCTAAAAAGCAATTGACCTGCTAATTGAAGGAAGCGCCAAAAGCTCCCGCTTTCTCTCTTTGGCCCAAAGAGAAGCGCAGGAACTCCCCAGAGCGAGAAGAGAACGAGAGAGAGGAGAGCCCCCGCGATAACAGCTGATTGTCGACTCTTTCGCTGGCGAGCGGTTGCCATAGCGAATGAACGGCACAAAGCGGACGTTGCAAAAGTGGGTGGGGAGTGGCGGTGGGTTGGGGCAGCGAACTGAAGAAGAAGTCATCGGCACAGAGACACATATACCCACTTCTCTCTCTTGCGCTCTCACTCCATCTCGTTGCCGCTCTTTTTTTGGGGAGCACCTCTGCTGCCGCATTGCGGCGCTGCTGCCGCGCGGCCGGCGTCGCTGCCGCCGCCGCACGACGACAACGAACAGTCGATAACATTTTGCGGCACTCTTCAGCTACACCTCGTATTGAGCGTTTCGCGGCGGCGGGTTACGATGCGTGGCGCGTTGTATCTTTATTATTAATTATTTGTTGTTGTTGTTTATACTCTGTACCGTTTTATTTCCCATCGCATCGCTCGTGTGTGTGTGCGCGCGTGTGTCTGTGTCTGTGCGTGTGCCTATGCGTTTTGCCCCCCAAATCCCCCAAAACGCCTCACCACCACCCCCCCTCTAACCACTCTGCCGAGAAAAACCCCCCGAAAATCAAGAAGAAGAAGAGGAAAGATTACTCCACAAAAGGCAAAACTTCGAAACGCGAGTGTGTGCTAGTGAAAGATATATAAATTAGAGCCTTGCAACATGCGGCGGCAGATGAAGTTTGTTCGGTTTCAGATCAAAACAAAATCATAGGATATATCGCTATATATACAGTACCAGTCAATCAATCAATATCGTGTGCATTCAAATTCCACATCGTGCCTAAAACTGCAACTGCAATTGCGCGCCCTCTCTCTCTCTCTCTTTCTCGCTATAAAAAATAAAAACACACAAAACGGAAACGGAAGTGCCAGTGACGTAATACTCCCTAAAAAAACCCAGGAGAATCCCTCCCACAACCTTCCCCTCAAGATTGTGCAACAAAAACAAAGCCAATTTCCGTGTATGTGTATGATCCATCAGCCTAAGTGTGTGTGTGTGTGTGTGGCACAAGGATAACACAAAATATTATTAACAAAAATAAAAATCCATCGAGAAAATCCCTCATCGCAACACGTCGCCCTCGCAAATTGGATAATTTATTGGAATAATCTATTTGCCTCTAATTGGATAGCTAACCACCAGTTTTCGGATATATCACACGATCGGGGATTTAATGATTGGGAAACGAAAATTTATGACATCGTTTAGGCTTGCTTGTTTTATAGGTGCTCCATAGGTTCTGGCACTCGGGGGCTTATTAAGTACACGTGCCTAATACTTGAATAACTAAATGCAAAGCGATGAAATTTAATTGAACACTTCGATATTTTGTAGTTTTTTTGACTTAAAGTCTGACATCTACAAGTTCAACGACACTTTAAAGTCAAAAAGAAACTTAAAGACAACGAGTAACTTGAAAATATTTGGTATAGATTATATAGACCCAAATGATATTTCAAAAGTTAATAAACTACTTATCTATTTGGGATTCGTAATCTTTTAGTATATATCGAATATATATTATATTCCAAAACAGAGTAGAAAAGAGAAGAAAAGAAGATAGATTCCTTTGTTCAGTTTCTACTTTTTAAAGAACTTTAGGTTCTAAAGATGAAAGTACTCCTTTGAGTACCAAGCCGAATGATCTTTCTGAATATCTTACGAATCTTATGAATTTCTTTTTATAAGGACAATAAGAAGTTTTATATTTGGATAAAAATAGTGGTCTTTGGTTCTTGATTGCTATTTCAACTGATGTTTCTCTATAAGCCGGATTCCCTGAGTATGATTCACAGATTCTAACCAAGTGATTCTAACAACGGTGTTATCCCCATTGGCCATCCCATATAGGAAATAGTTTCCCCCAATTAACAACCCCTTTTCGAGCAACTATGGCCAACTGTCAGCTGAAAGCTTTTCGCAATTTTTCATAGGGCTCCCGGTATCTGTTACTGGGGGCTTCTGGGTCCATTGTCTTAGGATCTTAGGAGACCGAATACCGAATCACGAGATGCTATGCCCTTTTCTTGTCCACAGCTTCTGGCCCCTTTGTTGCCGCTGCAGTTTTCTGTCTGTGTCCATTGTGGCAACTTATGATTATCAACAATTGTTATTGTTGTCGTTAGAAGCAGTTTAGAGGCGGCAGTACGAGTGCTTGCACCGACTTTTCAGTTCAGCCGAGTTCAGAGCAGAGCAAAGTCGGTCGTCGCCAGCACCACCCACTCTGCGCCTCCTTTTCCATTGCTTCCACTGCCACTGCTGCTTCTCCTGCCTTTTTAGTCGACTGTTTGCATTACCGTTAGTGGAACAACATTGCTAAGCACACACACGGGCGGCACACACACTCGCACACTCCATGTGTCGCCCCATAAGTGTGCCACCCCAGCAACAACAACAACTGGGGATGCACGCAGAGAAAATATTCCAACAGCTCCATTCTTGGAGATATTTTCATGGAATTATAGAATATGTTTAGATAGATTCAATTTGTATTATTTTGTATTTATGAAACTCTGTATTTTGTATTTTATAAAGAAGATTTTGAACACTTAACTTTAAAAAAAATGATCTAATAGTGAACTGAATTTCAATAGTTTCAAAGATAACGATATATAAAAAAGATATAAGAACTAAAAGCAAAGGGTTAGGACTTTTTTTTAGAAAAATAATAGATACCGAATATGAAAACCAATTTAAATGAATACCTTATAAATGTTTTTAAGCAATTACATTTTAATAGTTTCAAAGATAATGATAAATAAAAAAGATATAAGAACTATAAGCAAAGAGTTAGGACTTTATTTTTAATAAAAAATAGACACCGAATATGAAAACTTATTAATATTATTACCTTATTAATGATTTTAAGCAATTTTACAAATGGAAAATATTTAAGAATTATAAACAGAGAGTTAGGAATTTATTTTGTCTAAGATGTATAAACAAAGAGTTAGGATCTTAGTTATTTTTAGGAAAATATAAGACTACTAAAAAATGTTAATAGTTATGAAAGGATTATTGCTAAATAGTAGGTTCTTATTAGGAAACCCATGAGGTTCAGAGATCATAACTAAAAAGATTTGTTAGCAAAAAAGGATTTGAGGAGGTTACCTTTGATTACATGATTACATATGAGGTTAAGAGATCATAACTAACTAGATTTAATAGGGAAAAAGGATTTGAGGAGGTTACCTATGATTACACATGAGGTTAAAAGATCATAGCTACACAGATATGATAGAGAAATAGGTCTTAAAGAGATTACCAATTTCGATGAGCATTTCGTATCTCCTTTCTGGCCGTGTAGAAGCGGAAAACAGCCTAAGCAGAAGTCCCAGGCGGAAAAGTGGGGGCAGCGGCATGGCCCACCCATAGGTCATTGGTCTTTTTCGTCGGCGTCAACGTACTGCGACGGCAGCAGAAGCAGCAGCAGCAACAACAACACAACAGCAGCAACAGCCCCAGCAGCGCTGCAACTGCGACGCCGGCAGCGCTGCCTTGTAAACTTTGTCGTCTGCTTTGCTGTCGCTCTGTTGCTGTTGTAACTGTAACCGCCTTCGGCTTCTGCCGCCCACCGCCCACAGCCCCCCTCTCTCAGCACTCTCTCTCTCTCTCTCTTTCTTTCTCTTTCGCCCTGCTTCATCATCGGCTTGACCGGCTCGTTAGCTTTAGTACCGTTAGTAAGTTCGTTGTCGCTGCGAGAGAATTTTTCATTTCCACTGTGGTGGGGCTATTCATTTTCATTTTCCTTTCAGCGTTTTCTTTGCGTTTTGTCTATATGTAAATTTCTCTTTCCCGCTCCCGCTCCCTCTCCCTTTCTCTCTCTCTTTCTCTGTGTTTCTGAGCTGGCACAATTTCAGTGTTGTTGCTGTCGCTTTGGTGACGTATTTTATATGTCTGCCAGAGGCTTCCGCATGGCCACCCAAAGCCACCCCCAAACCACCAACAAAGTGATTACACTCCCCCTACACCCCTAGCCACCCTAAAAAAAAAGAAAGAGAGAGAAAAGTAAAAATGTTTTTATATTCATTGGGTTTGCCGGCTCGTTTGTCGCTCGTTTTTCCACTGTGCATGTGTTTGTGTGTGTGTGCTTGAGCTTTGGGTCATAGAACTTTTTTCTATGTTTACACACACTATCACACGAACACACCCACTATGCTAGGCGACGAGATTTATGCGCTGCATTTCACAGTTTTTCCCCATCAGAACCGAACCGAACCCCCGCCGTCTGTCTGGGCACCCTTAAATCCCATTTCTCTATCGATTTTCCATGTTCACGTCCATATAGTCATCATCAGCGGCCCAAAGGGAGTTGCCAACCGAAAAAAGGGAGAGCTATGTAGGGGTTATGTTCTGGGGTTTGGGGTTTGGGGTTCGGCACAGTTCCTGAATTGCGAAGCCTGCATGGGCAAAATATGGGTTTTTAATTATGAGATACATTATGTCATGTGCTGTATCTGTTGGAATAAATAAAAACATAGGTTTGTATAGACGGGGATTGAAAAGATTTGTTGAACAATCTGGTATATGTTGTTATTATAGGATAATAGATTTTTTACTGATGCTATAGTACTTTTGTTTTGATCTATTAAATCTTTAAAGTTTCCATTGTAAGGTTTGGAAGATTTAACTCATTTTGTATATTGCGATGAGGATGGATAATAAGTACCATATACTATAAATAGTATGCTATGATATGATGATAATATAATTGTGTTTTTGACTTTCTGCGTAGTCTTCTATTAAGTTAATCTGTCAACTCAGATGTTAATAAGAACATTTAATATTATCTACTTTAACTGAATTTTGAGTACCTATATAAACAAAGAGTTTTTTGTATTATTTTTCGTTATGTATCCAACTTTGAAATCTTGAGAAATGTCGAGCTTATCTTATACTTTTGTTTTGGTTTTTTCTTATTTTGATAACTGAGAGTCAAAGAAATAGTAGTCAAATGAATAACGCCACACACACACTCGGGCCCACATCGATCAATCTTTGGTTATCGACCAATCGAAGATCTTTGGTAAACGACCAAACGAAGATCTTTGTTTATCGACCTATCGAAGATCGTGCGATTTTCTATATCGATTTCCCCCTTGCAGACACCATTCCCGTGCAATATGCTGAATGCCATGATTTGGCCATGGCTGACAGTGCGTAGCAAGAGTATTTACATAACTGGCCAAACCATTTTGTACATCAAAGTGTTCAAGCGTAGGGCCTGAATAAAAGACGCATATTGAAAATAACAGATGAACGTTTCCAAGGCAGCGACAGTTCGAATCGATGAGAAACAGATTGCGCCTAAATGTCTTCCGGAATTAATTGTCGTGAAATTTTCGTATTTTTGGAAATTTTGATTTGGAATCAAGCAAAACAGAGAAATCGACAAAACAATGAGCATAGCAACAACAAAGGCAGCAGCAGCAGCAACAATAAGGAAACCAGCAGCAACAGCAGCAGCAACAACAACAGCAACAAGCAACACAATAAAAATCACAGCAACCGTAGAAGCAGCAGCAACAACAACAACAACGCAGTGAAAGTGATAAAGCAGCAGCAGCAGCAACAACAACAACAACAACTGCCCAAAGCAACCAAAAACAAAAACTACAGCAGCAACAACAATAGCAGCAACAGCAACAACAACAATCTGCACATACTGCAAAAGGGTTAAAGTTGCAAGTTCGATTTAAATAGATATTATAAAATCATAGAGAATTGCTTTAAATAAACGATAACGATAACGATAGCGATAGATAACTAAAACAAGTTTAATACATACGCGAACAAGTGTCTTATTAACAAATAGTTTGATAAACAAAACAAAAAAAAAAACAGACAAATAAGCAGATAATTAAGCGGCAGCAGCAGCAACATATAACATCAGATCCAAACAACATCAACAATTTAGTACCTACAGGCCTGACAACGTTAGATCATTATATACATACATATAGATATAAAATATATAAAATATATATACACATATATATCGATTGGCAAGCCCCTCACACACCGCCCCCCCGCCCCCGTCTCACAAAAACAAAAACAAAAAACACCCACACACACTGTGATAGTTCTTGATTCACACTGAATGCGAAAAGCGCTGAAAATTCATTCATAAAATAATAAAATCAATCTGCGGACTAAAAGCTAAAGACCAAGTGCAATAAGACGATTGATTGGCTAATACAATTGGATCCGAAGGGCAGCTACATATAAAGTTATATATATATATCTATATATTAAATACTGTATACAACGTTTTACATATTTACAAAAAACAAAAACCCAAAATATCGAATTCATTCAGCTGCAAAGAGCAGAAGAAACGAAAAGATTGCGCATACGCCGCGTATGGCCGTCTGTGTGAGTGCCCGTGTTCATCGGCGGTTGCAACAACTGATAGCAAGTGTACATAACCGTAGCTACAACTATAACTATAACTATTTCACCAATCAACTGCAGCGGCAACAACAACAACAGCAACATCAAACGTTACAAACGTCACCAAAGCTTCGCATTTCCCATTAATAATTATGTATACGCAACGTATGTTTGACATGTGGAGCAGCGTCACTTCGAAACTGGAAGCACACGCAAACAACCTCGGTCAAAGCAACGTCCAATCGCCAGTGGGACAAAACAACTCCAGCGGTTCTATTAAAGGTAAACTACAGTCTTTAAAACAAAAACAGTCCTTACTTACTCGTAAGTAGAAAAAACCCTGCAAAGAAAATGGTATAGGACCAGATTTGTATGATATTATATGTAGATCTTAAATACTAAAACCGGTATTAGTTAAAAAATATTAAATCAAAAAAAGGTTTTACTAAAAACCACTCAAATCAGTAATTTTTTACTCGTAAGTAGAAAAGGCCTACAAAGAATATGGTTTAGGACCAGAATTGTATGATATAAGATATAGATTTTAAAGAGTAGAAAAGGTAACAAATAAAAAAAATATATTATAAAAAAATACTTTTATTAAAACGTCCAATCGACATTGGAAGAAAACAACTAAAGCGGTTCCATTAAAGTTAAACTACAAAATTCTAAATCGAAATCAGTTCTCTTATAATCGTATGTTGGAAATATCCTGCGAAGCGGAGTATCAAACATTATAAATGTTAGATAACAAGAAGTTCATAATATAAATTATAGGATGAAAAACGAATACCACATGTATTTGGAAGCTGATTGATATTTTAATATATTTTTTATTATTCAGGGTTCTCAAAAAACTTATAAATCGAAAAAGTACACCACGGAAAAAATAGACAATGAATAAGTCAAGCTTTAGAAAACTGAAAGATCATACGTTTTAAGATCTTTTATTATAAAAAACACATCCAGTTAAAATAGAATAAAATATTTAAGTCTAAGATATATCATATGATATAATATACTATATGATATTATCAATCTTATTATGATATATATGACATCAATTATATTATTATTTATGATATACATTTTAGAAAGCCATATGTGAAGTACATATCTTCTCACCTTGTTTATAAAGTTATACAATATCTAAACTGTCATAATCCCAACCACAGGCTAAATTTTATCACAAGTATTAGTTCCGCTTTCAAAAATATTATGCAAACTTTTGGCATACATTTTGTCAAAACATTTTTGAGTCCTTTAAAAAAATCTATCTTTTATTCAGTTAGCCCAGAGATAGCAAATGAAGTAACCGACAAGTGTGAACTTTCATCCCGCTAAAAGTAACAAGAGAATTACACAAAACAGCAAAAGCAAAATAAAGTATAAATTTAATGAAATCCAGTTAACTTGCTGGTTTTATGTGGCAGAGTCACTCAGTCAGTCAGTCAGTTGGTCTTTTTCGTTATTTTTGTATTTTCGTTGGCAGTGAAAGTCACTTGGGTTTCTCAACCAGCAGCAACGAAAAAAAAAAATTATTTAAGGGAAATCCATGAAATTCGTAAATGAAGAAAGACAGCCAAATGAATATTACGAAACCCAAAGCCACTTGCGTATGTTTTTGCGCTGGTGTGCGAGTGGTTTGTTGCCTTTTTGCATTGACAATTCAACTAATTCGAAATGGCAATCAGAGAACAGGAAAGAGATGGCCACAGACCCTTTCTTCTTTCCCCAGCCAAAGATACAAAGATACAAATTGTATATGTAACATGGTGGTCATAAAAAGCGTACAGCTGGAGATCATAATAAAATAAAATGGAAAAGAAACTTGCGAATTAAAATTCGCGGACCAGTCATAAAAAACATATATGTATATATATATGCCATATTGTAATGCCAACAAAGTTTCAACAAGCCTTATAAATAAATATTTTACTATGTGAGTGATGGATGTTATATGAATTGCACATTTTCGACTATGCGTTTGGTTCATACGTATTAGTTAATTAGCTTGTATCATTGTATTTTACAATTATTGAGCAGATTTGTTTATTTTTTTGATCTTCACAGTAGATTTGATTGTATTTTTGGAAGTTTTTACTAGGTGGGAAAGAAAGCAAAATCTTGAAATGAAATCAAACATTTTTTAGGAATAATACAGGATGAATATATTTCCTAATGAATTTTTATATCAATATTTCCTGATGTATTTTTTATATCAATGAATCATCAACACGTCATATTTTTAATATATGTATAACACCAATTTTTGTTAATTTAATACTGAGTTAAGATTTTATTATAACTTTATAAAGAACTTATAAGTTAAGATATACATTTTTTCTAATACTCCTTAATAAAAGTTGAGTTTCCAAACTTCAGTATAAATATTAACTCTAACTTCAGTGGGTTAATGGACTTAAGGACCTCAAGTTTTAGGGGGACGAACCAAATTAATACGTATTTAATTGGGGTGCTTTGACCCCTTAGCAGGTCAACTGCGATTGCAACTAGGGGTTTGGTGGGTAAAAAGGAGGATATTATTTCTAACATAAATCTTAATCGCGGGCGGCAATCTATCCCCGGTTTTCTAAGTTGCGTGTGAGTAATTAAGGGAACTGCATGGGTGTCGAAGGGGGGTCAGATTTTTTTCACTCAGGTCACTGTTACTTTTGGCATGCAATTTGCCCTTATGACTTCCGCAAAATCAACTCCTATTTTATTATTGAAATTTTCACTTTTTCGCTGTTTTTGCCTTTCTTTCGGAGAAACAGATAGAAACGTAGGCAAAGTGAAAGAAAGAAATTTTGCGGCGTAAACAGAAAGCGGCCAAAAATGAAATTTAAAAAGCGAAAGAGTTGACAACATTGGCCCTTTGCAAGAAGAAAGAGGGGGAGAGAGAGAGGGAGAGAGAGAGAAAGATAGAGAAGTGGCAACAATAAAAAATATTCAAAAACGCCAGACCGAAAAAGTTTTGTTAAAGTGAAATGCTGCTGTTGCTTTAGCTGATTGTGTAGTCCGCTCACAAACACACATGCGTACCAAATAAAACAAAAAGAAATGTGTGGAAAAAAGCGACCCATGCAGGCCCAAGCCCAAACCGGCCCCGCCCCCTTTCCCCCCTATCCACCCAACGCCCCTGCGAGATAGTGCGAACGCCCGTTTAACACTCGAAACAAACGAAAACCTAAAACTATGAAGCTACAAAATTTCTGACTGCCTGAGAAAGTGTGAGTGTGCACAGGGGCGTAGAAGGGGGTTTCTAGAAATGGATTTCTATAAGGTTTAGTTAGGACTAAGGAGTGCATTTTAAAGATACTTATTAGATATTATTGGTTTATTGGTAAAAAAAAGATATTAAATTATTATTGCTAAATTCTTACAGAGTAAATATATTTTAAAAATTCATATTAGGGCTGAAATGGGATAGAATAATATAGGTTAATCCAATAGTTAAAAAACCAAGTATTTTTTAGCTAGACAAAATTATGTAAATTATTTAAAAACTGGTTTTATTTTAGGATTTTGTAATATTCAACAATTTATTGCCGTTAAATGATGATGACAAGTTATAGATAAAATACCATATATTCTTTAGCAGGATGAAATTAAAAAAAATATTTTAAAAAATTGAATTTTTTTTAGGATTTTTTAATAATTAACAATTTATTGTTGTATTTGTATTTATAAATGACAAGTTATAAAATTTCTAATTTCTTGGTTCCCCAAAAGCCCCCTTTCAAACGCCCCTGTCCATGAGTAGTTTCTTTCAGTGTGTCTGTGCGAGAAGCGCCAAAGCACACACATCCATACAGTCATACATTCACACATCCACAATCATCATCGCCAGCGTCAACATAGTAAAAGTCTAAAATCGAGGAAAAAATTATTTTCGGCGGTCATTCAACTCGCACGCACGCACACTTACGCACTTTCTGATAGAGCAAATGAAATGGGGGGAGAGTGTGAGAGAGAGAGAGCAGGAGTGGGAGAGTGGGAGAGAGTGCGTGAGAGCGGAGCGTTCGTTGACTGTTATGCGGGAGCGTGCGTCGACGTCGACAGCGACGCCGGCAGCGCTGCCCAAACCACGCACATTACAACATCAAAAAAAAATATATACAAAAAAAAAACACAACAAACAATGGGCAATACTACTTTCTATGGCTTTTTCCACTTCTCCCCCATTTCTATTTCTCTTTTCAAACAAACCGAAATTATTATTTATGCAGTCAAAGTTTTGGAGCCATAAAAGCGAACGGGAGAAAGAGAGAGAGAGTGCGAGAAAGAGGAAGAGAAAGAGGGAAATTCTTTGTTTGACAATTATTGCGTGAATTTCCACGATTACGGCTTCTATCGCTCATGTAAATGCCGTATTAATTGCCCATCGTAGAAAAGTCGCCGAACTTTTGACTTCCTTTTTCGACTTCGATTGAGCACAGACGATAAAAGCTTATAAATAGGATTGTACCATATACGTGATCAGTTAATCCGGAGTTATTAGAAAACGTGTAGGATGAAACCTGATCTATGGTAAAAATATTATAAACTACAAGAGAATTTTTAAATCTGAAACATTGAAAATAAAGTTATATTTGTAATATAATATAATATAATATAATATAATATAATATAATATAATATAATATAATATAATATATTATCAT